CTATTACTTTCAAAGGATCAAACGGAGATCAAAGCTTATCAAAAGACCATGATATTTAATAAAGGAAAATGCTTGAACGTCAAAATATTGAAAATATTTACCAAGTAACGAAGGAAGCAGTTAACAGAGATTGGTGTTCAAAAATGTGCAGTCAAATAGACTGCCCCTGAAAAAAACATATATTCTTTGACATAAATTCTACGATTTACAGCCAGGACCAGGAAAATATATTATTTATTTTAATGGTTTTGATGAATAGATATTTATTATTATTATTCAAAGTATTAATTAGAATAAAATATGTCAGAATTTTTGTTATTTATATAAGAAATATGTCGAAATTAAAAGAGCACTCATTCAAGGGAATTGGCAAAAAAATTAAATGGAAAATAAACTAACGAGGTATTATTTATTCGTGGAAAGGGTTCCCTGTTTCGTGCTCTTGTTAGATATCTATTTCCATCTATCCCTCCTAACTAATTCCACAATATGCATTCAAAATTTAAATTGTATTAACTATGAATTAGAAGACGATTTCTCAATTATGTTAACGACGCCATGAATGTGACTGACATAATCCGATTACTTTGCATTTAAAGTAAAAGAAGACTGACTACAAAAATGATCCTGTGAAGTATACTCTTATATATTACGATTATATTCTAATATATAAAATAAACATATAACAAAACAATTATAAAGAAATTTAATAATAATTTTTCTTGTTAATATACAATTGACTTCGAAAACAAAAACCCTGCGCAAAAACCCTATTGGGTCTGATGCTGCAGAATACATCGAATAAAATATAACTTTCTTACTTTTATAAAAAATGATATAGGGCTTAGAAATTCAAATTAAATCGATGTCTTAGAGTTGATAAACGTACATATTCGTTTTTCGAAAATTTCCAATTCTGCATTTCATATTTCATAATTGTGATTTTGTCTTGATTTGCATGTAATCTGAATTAAAGTAGCTCTAAGATTATCCTTTAGAAAGGAATAAAAATCAGCTTCATTCATACAGAATGCTAATCTAAATATAAATTGATAAAAAGCACTGAGATGTTCTTCCATTGAAAATAGACTGTTAATGAGCTCTCGTTTCCCATCAACTTCTATCTGAAACTTACCGATTTCATAGAAACGAGTTGCATTTGCACGTGAGTTTTTTGATAAAAATCGTTAATTTCTTTATTTTACATTCAGATCCGGATTTGTTGTTTTCTTTTTTCTTGTTTGCTAACAACAATAAAAATCCTGCCTCAAAGAGAACTCCTTTTCGGTGTTTGCTTGTTCCCATTTCATTCGGGTTTGATGGAAAGGTTTCGTGATTAAAAATTGTTACAAATATCAAAAAAAAAAACAAAATACAATAATAAACAATTTTAATTGTGCTCAAATATTGAATTTTAAATTCCATAAAAATTTTAATTATTTTTTTAATTCGATCCGAAAAGTAACAGTTTTACATGCAAATCCCAACACGAACACTCAATCTTATTAAACTTTTTTCATTTAAAATGTATTAGAAACCAATTTAAATACTTTTATTGCTACTGAAATCTCTTTAAAAAGCAGTTTTTAGCTATTTAGTCCATAATACATTCCAAGTACCAGAGTAAAACTTTAGTATAAACTATGTCGTCATAAATGGAACTCGCAAAGTAAACCACGAGCCTACGACGAGCTCCAATCGTTAGAAATTTCGTGTATTTGTCATAATCGATAAGTTAATGTATGGTTTCATAACACACACACGCGAAGAGAATTTCTACATTTTCTAAACAAAAAGCTATAGTTGCTGCTATCTGACAGATCCAGTTAGTTTACTTACCTGAGTTTTGGTTATGTTTAGCAGATACGTGTTGAGGCAATTATCAAATACACAATTATAAATATAAATACACAATTAAATGAACTTTATAATAGCCGTATTCATTGGCGTACACATATAGGGGAGCGGAGGGGCGCTCGCCCCCTAGATTTTTTGCGAACAAAATCTAATTTTCAAGTTTTCAATGAACTAGTTTTCAATGAATATCATATCAGTATATCAATGGTCCTCCGAGTTTCAGAAACAATAACTTAGATTACATGGATCAGTAACTGAATAAGTTTGGCGCTAAACGAATTGGAAAAATTTTAAATATAAAATTAAAAAAAGTTTAAATTATATAATTTCTGTTAAATTTTTAAATACAACTTTTAAAACTTAACTTAAATTCTATACTAAATACATGAAAATTGCAGATTTTAATAGAATCATCGAGAGACACTAAAACTAACCCTTCCACTCTCTTTCTAAAAGTTGGTTCAAGTATATTAAGCTCAGGGGAATTTTAAAATTCAAATTTGCATAATAATTATTAATTCTAAAAATAAAAATAAAGTGATACTTTTTTCCGCCAACCTCCATGTTTTCACTTATTGTTTTGTTTAAATATTTTACTACGCGTATCATATATTAAAATCGCATTGCCAACGACATTTTGCATAAAATACGTTCCACTTTGTACATATATTCCACATTGAACCAGTATGCTAGTATGCTAATAATGCCAAAGTGGAAGCTTCGAAAAAATTCCCGTTCGTAATTGGTTGCATAGACAGTACACATGTAAAAATAAATGCACCGCACCATAGCAAATAGGCTTATTTCAAAAGGAAGCATGACTATAGCTGCGTTTCAGCAAACATGATCCGCTCAATTTTACATGCAAAACAAAAACAATGGGGTGAACCAGCAATTGATCTGGTTCACTTTCTGGTTCAATGTGGAATGTATGTAAAAGATAAAAGTGGAACGTATTTTAATGCAAATGAGGTTGGCAATGCGATGCAACGGTGTAGTAAAATTATAAACAAATCTACATTTATATTTATTTATTATTGATTTTATTTATTTATTATTTATTTTATGTACTTATTTATTTAATATGTCATTATTATTTATTTCTTTGTTTGAAGTAATGTTTTAATTATTACTAAAATTAAAATTATTACTTTATTTATTTACGTTTTAATATTATTGAAAAAGTGTTGTTTGATAATTTATTAAAATCAATTAATTTGAAATGAATATATAAACATTTAGTTGAATACATTTATTTAATTAAAACAGAACAATACATAAGGAAACAGGCTCTCCAACATACACGTTTATAAAAAAAACCATTGCAAACTGCTTGCAAGTTTAAACTATATTCATGCTTCCTTTTGAAATAAGCCTAATTGCTATGGTGAGGTGCATTTATTTTAACATGTGTGCTGTCAATCACGAACGGAAATTTTGCAATTGATATAAGCTAAACACTAGTTCTTTCAATTATTCTCCATACAGAAGCTTTTAATATGCCAAAACAAATACCAAATTCGCGAAAAGTATTAATATTTGCCATATACCACAAAAATATGTAAATTTCCTTCATTGCTCTCGTCCAATTGTGACCACCACGTTTATTTTGTATTTGCTAATTGGATTTTATTAACAAATCTATTTAAATATGAAACATAATTAATATATAGCAATTGTATTTTTTATGCGCAAATACCAATCAAATAATCTTTAACGGAACAATTATTGATCGTTTCCATAAAATTTCCACTATATCCATGCTGATGCACTTCATCCCTTGAGCTTAATACACTTGGACTAGTGTTTAAAAAGAAAATGGAGGAGTCACTTTTGCTCGATAATTCTAATAAAATCTGCAATTTCCATTTATTTACTATAGAATTAAATTTAAGTTTTTAAGTAAATACTAAATAAAAACTTAAATTTCGTACTTCAGACATTTCAACAGATTTTATTTATTTTCCAAATTTTAGATTTTTTGTATTCAAAATTTTCTCACTTATTTTTTTAGCGCCAAAATTATTTACATAAATCAAAAAATTTTGTACACAAACCCAACTGGCATATTTCATGCGTTGCCAATTATTTTCAAACGTGATCCGTATCGTTTCAGCAAAGATGATTCAGATCATTGAGCGGATCATGTTTGCTGAAACGCAGCTTATGGCTTAATCTTGCAGGCAGTTTGCGATGAAAATGGTTTTTTTTATAAACGTGTATGTTGGAGAGCCTGCTTCCTTATGTATTGTTCTGTTTAAATTAAAAAAATGTATTCAACTTAATGTTTATATATTCATTTCAAATTAATTGATTTTAATAAATTATCAAACAACACTTTTTCAATAATAATAAAACGTAAATAAATAAAGTAATAATTTTAATTAATTTTAATAATTTTAATTTATGGTAATAGTAATAATTAAAACATTACTTTAAATAAAGAAATAAATAATAATGACATATTAAATAAATAAGTACATAAAATAAATAAATAAATATAAATGTAGATTTATTTGTTTATAATTTTACTTCAACGTTGCATCGCATTGCCAACCTCGTTTGCATTAAAATACGTTCCACTTTTATCTGTTACATACATTCCATATTGAACCAGAAAGTGAATCAGATCAATTGCTGGTTCACCCCATTGTTTTTGTTTTGCATGTAAAATTGAGCGGATCATGTTTCTAAAACGCAGCTATTGTTTGTTAAAATATAGCTAATAATAAAAAGACTACTAACAAAAGAAAGTAAAATAATATAGATTTAATATAAATAAATACATAGAACACATTATTGATATATCAGATCCTCCACAATTTAAAACCGTATTTAGCATGGAAAATACATATTATAACTTGTCAGGTGTAAAAAAAGTTATATCGTTTATTAGCATTGTTTTTATAAAATTGTGTAACTGTTATTTGCAGTTGATTTAATATTTCTTTGTATGTCACGACTTGTAAATGTGAACGTAGTTTCTAAATTTTGACTTAATGAAATTATGTCGTGGGCTTAGTTCAATTAGTATTTTCATTATTTAAAAATTATTGTTTAAATATTATTATTAAATAAAAATTAATAATTAAAAATAATTAATTCAAATTTTGCTTGCCAAAAGTGAAAATATTGCGTCATCTAATCATCAGCAGTTTGTTCTGAGATTTATTAGCGTTGGCAACGCGTAAAATTGACAACAGACACATGTGCACAAAATTAAAGCGCAAACAAATTTTGTAAACAAAAATGAGTGCCTGCACAAATTGCCAAGATTTGACTAGAAAGTATAGATGCCCAAAATGTTTGGAGCCGTAGTAAGTATGCAAAATATGTATAAAGCTAAAATCTTCAAGAAATTCATACAAACTTAATTTTTGCAGCTGCTCCCTCAAATGCTTTAAAGAACACAAGGAAAAAAATTGTGAACAGAAGCAGTTGGAAGATACTAAAGCCGAGGAATTGGAAGGTGAGGAACAGACCTGTCATGAGGCTTTTCCTACTAATGATACAGTACCAAAAGCGTTACTTGAAAATTTAAGTAAGTATCAACGTCATAGATTCTGAGGCGGTTGCAGATATAAACACTGTATCGCCACCGTTTCACTTTTAAACTAAATAGCCTTTTCTTTGTGTTGAAACAGAATATTCATCGGAACTGCGGAGTTTACTCCAAAATTCACATTTACGTAATTTGCTACGAGAAATTGACGTAGCGCGCAATGTCAACAATGCCATGACTGCGGCTATGCATGAGCCACTTTTTCTGGAGTTCGCGGATACCTGTTTGAAAGTTGTCGACCCAATGACTGAGGAGGAAGTAAAAGAAGCGAAATTGTTACATAGTTAACTTTATTTGAGGAGCTTGTGTGATAAATATAGTAGTTTTTTCAGATTTTATATTGAAGCACCAATAAAGGTACAAATTTCATTTTGCGACATTAGTTAAATTAATAATTTTTGCATTATTAACAATATAGTTATAACTCGCTGTAGTCTCTCAGTTTGCTCTGTATTCCATTTAAATTGATAACATAGGGGAAAACATCTGCCGGTACCTGGCATTGGTCTAGCTCTAACGCCAACATAAAATTTCGCTGACGAAGCAAATAGGCTACTGCTTTCGGTTGTCGATTGCGTGTGAATACGCCCTTTTTATTTCCGCCAGCTCGATTTACGGCTACAAGGAAACAAATTCTCATTACAATATCTTAAATATTATGAAATTTCGAAGTTACTCTGCGCTGTTTCAAAATCGGCAAAATTCCAAACAAACTCGCCTATGAACCACTTTTGTTCGCGAATCACATCAAAAGCCTTAAAGTGCTTCGACATTAAACCCACTTGGTAGTCTTCAGACCAAACATATGTAGGCAGCTAGACAGTTAACATATTTAAACTAACGAGCTTTTACTTACTATGTCAAACAACTTACAAAGTGGAAACCTGCTATGGTGTCGGCGCCATATTCAGTCATTATGACTGGTTTATTGTGTAGCTTGTGCCAGCCTGTGGCCTCTTCTACTACTGAGTTTGTTATCATATCTAGATGTCCTGCATTTTGATACCACGCATTGTAACGATTAAAACAAATGATGTCTAAGTATTTGCCCTAATGCGAAATAGGTACTTCAAGCAAAATAAAGAATAGCAACGTAATCAACTCACCAGTTTATCTTTTATACTTGCAGCATTCAGAGCAGCTGTTATAGGCCGGGTATTGTCTAAACTCTTTGCATAAGTCGTGACATAGCTAAGAAACAATATTAATAAAATGAAGGAAATCATAAGAAACTCAATTTTACTTAAAGTATTCGTCTGCTTTAGGCAATGCTGAACGTGGTTCATTTGCTACGGACCACATGATCACACTTGGATGGTTTTTATCGCGATGTATCAATTGTTCCAGTGCAGACTGATGATTTCTCAATAGTATGGCATTAAATATGCTAACGGAAACAACAAAAACAATTAGCATTAAATACTTAATCTGACTACTTACTTTGTGTTTACACTCGGACACTCATCGATTATCATTATGCCATTTTCATCGGCGAACTGCATAGACTCTTCGGAATAAGGATAATGTGAAGTGCGGTACGCGTTTGCGCCTATCCATTTTAGTAGATTAAAATCACGAGCGAGTAACACATAATCCAAGCCTTTGCCACGCAACTGAAATCATTCAATAGAAGTTTAAATGAAATATGTTTTTTCTGTCCACCAGCTTACGTCTGAATCCTCATGTTTTCCAAAGCCGCGTAAATAAATAGGTTTATCATTTAATAGTAGGCTAGTGCTATTCCATTTTAGTGTCCTAATGCCAACATTCAAGCGATATACGTCTAATAATGCGTCATCTGCTGCGTGCAGATATATTTCCAAAGTGTACAAATAGGCTGGTTCGGGATGCATAAGGTAAGGCCACCAAGTTTTTGCATTTTTTACTGTTAACGTTCCTCTGAACCTAACTTTCGCTTTGTCTGTAGCTACAATGTCTCCTTCTTTGCTTCGCAGCTGCATATGTACATACAAAGGATTTATCGGAGGGTCATAAAGTTCATTCGTTTCGTGACCATTTGTGGTTACAATATAGTGTACATAACCTAATAATAAATTTTGTTGATTTAAAGTTATATAAGATTTAAATGGGAAAGATGGATCTATAGTTTTCAAATCGTGCGTTCTAGATTCTCACTTATTTTATTCGCGTCATATTTCGTGTTGAAAGTCTAAAAATTTATTACAACTGCATCCAAGTTAGGAAAGTGGTTAGTCATACAATATTTTTAAATTGTTCTATTTTTCTAGTTTTATTTAAATATAAGCAAGAAAATATCAAACTAACCAGTATTGTTTAAGTCCAAATCAGTTGTAATATCCACGTCCTCGATGTATATTCTGGGAGTGGTGTATAAATGCACAGAGCGATGTATTCCAGCATAATTGAAGAAGTCGAATGTGTATGTTTGTGTTACCACGTTTCCATTATCACTGATTGAAAATCATATTAACTAATTATTATTTCATGATCACGTATAACCCATCAAATCTTCACCTTGGTTCTTGTACGACATTGCCTTGGGGAATTGTAGTATTCAGCAAAACATTATCACAAAGAACGGTCAAACGATTTTCTGCACCATATTTTAGATGAAAAGAAATGTCGGCTTCAAACGGTAAATGCCCAATAGAATGTGTGAGAACTTTTACGCCATTTAACCACTGCGAAGACGAAATATATAAATGTATCAATTGTGTTTAAAGTCCCTATCGATAACGTCAATGTAGCTTACAACAATTGCCTGATAGTGTACACTCCCAAACCGCAGCCACACCCGTTGATCCAAACCCCAAGAATGCGGAACGAAAAACTTTCGCTCATACCAGACAGTACCGATATGGTCACGTAATTCTGACTCCACCGTGATGTCATTGTAGCTCGCTGGCACCGGCATAGGAATTGTGTCATTTATCTTCAATGCTCATATAAATAGTTTATTTGCTTATCTATTTGTATTGAAAACAATTTACCTTATCTAAATCATCGTTAAACCAACCGTCACGTTGCCCTTGTCTTGGATTGTTTACATTCGATTTTAGGAAACGCCAAATACCATCCAATTTCCGTACTTCACGAGATTCCGATTCGCGTGGATACAGTAAACCCGTAGTTCTTCCCTTCCAGACATTCTTAAAGTCCTTTGCATCGCTCAAGGCGCTTAATAGCAAAAGCAAAAGTATTTTGCGTTGCATTCAAAATTTTCTGTCCAAAACCTGAACGCCATAGACCACCTCACGCAACAACAATTGCAACTGATAGACTGAGGCCTCTGTTTATATTTTCATCGCTGGTTTCCTCTGTTTATGTGTTGGTTGATTGCGCTGAGAATTGTTGGCCGGCAGTTTGGTTGTATTGGTTAAAGCTCAACAACAAAACACAGCTGATTTTGACATTGCACGGCGCCAAAGTATACCACTTATTTCAATTAAATGCAGTGGTACGTTACAGTCAGTATTGCATATTGTATTATCTCGTATGGAAGCATTGTTGTTATTCTCTTATCCGTGCGCATAGTTCATGACATATCAACTAATCAGAACGTTTTAAGTGCTTTTTCGTGTAATATTGTTTATAATATATATATGGTATAGACTGTTTTAATTAAACTATTTTACAATGTTTTTCACAAGTTCAAAGTAATAGCATATTCAAATGTTAGGCTTAAGCCTTGCTTATCGTAAGATTGCTTAGGATTAAGCAACTTTAATTTTGATTACAATCTGGGTAGTTTCATTTACTTTATTATAAAATAAAGTTTAAATTACAATCCGAATTCACATAAAATCCAATATATAACTCCATAATAATTATTATGGAGTTGTTTATTTACAAAATATACAATTTTAATCGTTTTTCACAATAATATATTTATGTATTATTTGCGAACGGAATTACAAAAACAAAAGAGATTTAAATTAAATATGCCGTGTGAACAGGATTTGAACAAAGCGAGCCAAACGAGAAAATCACAAATCAAAATTAAAATTATTTACGTCGTGTACACAACTTCTTAACAGCAATGGGAATAAGAAATGGGATAAGAAAAATAATGAATTAATAGCGATTTCGAGAAGTAGAAAGGGAAGCACTGGTCAGCCTCAAATTGTTTGTGCTAAGAAAAAAATAAAAGAATAATACGAACAATAATGGCTTGTGGGGGAATGAAAATACATGATTGGAGAAGCAAAACGACGGGTTTATAGCGATTTCGAACAGTAAATGAGAAAGCATTGATTCACTCGAAGCGGTTATGATTAGAAAAAAGAAGAAAAAGCTGAAAATGGAACTCTTTAGCAATTAAATTTGTTGCCTTTTCATGAAATATTGAAGAGTGACTTAAAAATCAGTTCATCACTATATTCAATCACTATATTTGAAAAACGTCATATAAACTGCATTTTTCTCAAGGCTATGACGTGGCTACATACTGTTGTAAAGTATATTTTATTTATATGCAATAATGCAGTAATTTGTCTACTAATGTAAACAAACTGGACGTAGACTCTGCCGATCTTTAACTTTTTTACTGATCTAAACTAATTTGGTATTTCAGTTCAATATCTCCATATTCAATACATTCATTTTGAATCTTATAACGTAGGTTTTTACTAGTATTTCTATCTAAAAGTCGTAGTTTTCTTAAGAGTTAAGTGAATCTTTAAACTAAAACAAATTACAGAAGTATTAACTTTTTAGTTCCTTTAAATTCGTTTGCGAACTACACAATTATTTTGCTTTTTTTGTGGATGGAGCAACTTATACTCACACACTAAGTTTTATATATGCATACATAGATACATCGTTCCATAATTCCAATTAAATCAGAGAGAGAAATGGTTATGAATAAAGTTGCGTACAATAAATAATGACTATAATCTGTGTACTAAAAGTAGTCATAACGTAAACGACTAATATTCACACACATACCCGAATGAACAAAGTCCATTACTTAATATTGTGTGCATCTTTTACAATAAACTGCATATTATTGCGGTGTGAATAGAGATGGTGCGTATAATGAGCCACCTTAGTCAGAATTGATATCTTCAGGTTTCTCTCTTCAGGTATTTGAGTATTAACATAGATGCATTAAATTTCGTTTGTATATTAAAACTTCAATTTTTTTAATAGATACATTGTTTCAATAAGGCATTTTATTAAGATCATTACTTATATGTAAATAAAAAGTGATTGTTGTTACTTAAAGTAATGCTTAATGTTAGGATTTACCGCGTTAAAAAAGTACATAACCTACAAATACATACTGAGAACAATTAATGGCAAAAATTGTATTAATTCTATAAAAACTTTAAAAAAATCGGCATTAACTGGTATTTACCATAGATTGCATTACGTAAAAGAAATTAAGATATTAATTACATGATATTGTATATAAATTAAAAGAATTTCTTAAAGAGAGTCTTATTTACAAGTCAATTCTGTTATGTATAAAAATATTTTTGTTTATTAAAGTGTACATTATTTTATAAATATATATGTATATATATAAATTAGACTATCTTAAATACATATTAACCAGTCAAAAGACAAATGCTCAATAGTATTACGGAATATAGCTGCTTGGTATCAATCGAAATTGCAATTTCTCTATAAATCCGTTTCGTCACGTTTGCCTGAACGAGGCGAACTGGCATCGGTGATGTATGTGAACAAGTCTTCTGGAAAATTACATTGATCCATTTCCCGACCCAAGGCAAAGTAGCGTTTGCGGACCAAATGTGCCGCCGCTTTTGGCTGCCTACTTCGCGTGAATACACCCTTTTTGTTACCTCCCACTCGAGTTACAGCTATGAAGAGATTAGCATTATATTTATATTTATAATATATATATATATTGTCGTGTATACTTTGTGCTGTTTTAAAGTCAGCAAAGTTCCAGATAAATTCACCAATGAACCAAGATTGTTTGCGTAATATATCAAAGGCTTTGAAATGTTTTGAAAACAGTTCGGTCTGGTAGTCCTCTGACCACACATAAGATGGAAGCTTTATAAGGAATAAATGTTTTAAAATTACGAGCGATAATTTTATAGAAAATTTTCTGCTTACCAAATGCAGACCTTCCACTGTATCCGCTCCGTACTCCGACATTATAACCGGTTTATTGTGTTTCTTATTCCAAGCAGTGGCTTCCTCTATCACTCTTTGTGTGATCATGTCGATTTTTCCAGCATTGCTATACCAGCCATTGTAACGATTGAAGCTTATAATATCTAAGTGTTTGGCCTAAAAATAATACGTTAAAATGTTGCTATATTTTTTACATAACTAGTCTTTGGTGAAAGTGGATTCTTACAGCTTTGTCATCAGTATGTGGAACGGCAATTGCGGCAGTAACTGGCCTTGTGCTGTCTAGTGACTTAGTATAGTTGGCTACGAATCTGTGAAAAATTAGAATTTAAATAATTTTTAAATTTTAGACAAATGAGTTTACTGGAAATATGAGTCTGCATGAAATTGACCAGTTCGGGGCTCATTCGCTATAGACCACATCACTACGCTGGGATGATTACGATCACGATGGATCAGCTGCTCCATTGCCGACTTATGTTTATCTAGTAAGGCTTGATTGTAGTTTCTAAATAAAAAAAATTACAATTGTAGTTTCGAACTCAAACACAGGATGCATTTGTGAAAGATATATCTGCTCAATATGCTTATATAAATTCTATTTTATTTTGGAGATATCACTAAATTTTTAATGATTTATATTTGTATTATTTGAAGTTTTAATAATGGAAGTAGTTATTCAAGATTTTCAGTCTACTTGTTTAAATTAAGCTCAATTTAAAGGCCTTAAGTTCATATTAAATCTGCCTTATAACATAATAAAAGATAACTAAAGAATAAAAGTAAAAAAATGTGATCGTGTATTCAATTGAAGTTTGAGTAATTAAGTACAGCAATAACCGCTGTTTTAAGGCTATCGCACTGCAGTTTTTAACTTACTCCGTATCGACACTTGGACACTCGTCAATAATCATAATGCCATGTTCATCTGCAAATTGCATTGATTCTTCAGAATATGGATAATGTGAGGTACGATAGGAATTTGCACCAATCCATTTTATTAGATTAAAGTCACGTGTTAGCAATGCATAATCTAAACCTTTACCACGTATCTGTGTATAAAAATGTATATCACTAAAATCTCAATTCAGGTAATAAAATTTAACTACTTACATCTGAATCTTCATGACGGCCAAACCCACGAAAATAAACTGGTCTTCCGTTGATCATGAACGATGTGTTATTCCAACTCAATGTCCTTACGCCAACTTTTAACCGGTACACATCAAGCAGTGTGTTGTTTGCCGTGTGTAGGAATATTTCCAGTTGATATAAATATCCTGGTTCTGGATGCATTAAATAGGGCCACCAAGGATGAACTTTAGATATTTCTATGACCCCTTTCAAGTCGGACTTTGTTGTATCCTTGGCCACAATATTTCCATCTCTATTACGTAGCACAACATTTAAGTACATCTCGTCTGTAGCTTCATTGCTGGTAGTACCATTCGTTTTTGCCTTATAATAAATGCATCCCACTAAATTGAATAATTAGAGAATGTACACCTACGCCATAAAAGTTTTTTATCTCAATCAGTTTCTCACCATTATTATTTGCTTTTAAATCTGTAGTTACTTCGACTTCTTCTATAAACGTTTTAGGAGTTGTGTATAGATGAACCGAACGATGAATGCCTGCATAATTGAAAAAATCAAAACTGTAGGTCTGTACAATGGCTACACCACCATCTCTGCAATTTTATGGATTAAAAGAAATACATGTTTCATATATTTGAAGGTTATTAAAATATATAATGAAATTGGTACTCACTTGGCAACTTCGGTAATTTTACCCTGCGGAACCGTGGTCTGTATGAGTGCGTTATCACATAGAACTGTTATGCGATTCTCTTCACCATATTTAAGCGCATTAGTTACTTCAGCTTCAAATGGTAAATGACCCATTTCGTGTTTTATAATCATTTCGCCGTTTATCCACTGTATAAAGAAATGATTACTTTAGGATTTTGCAACATTATCTTTCACGTTATCTTTCACTTACTACAAAAGCCTCATAATGTACACTACCAAAACGCAGCCAAACACGTTGATCTTTTTCCCATGAACGTGGTACAAAAAACTTTCGATCGTACCATACTGTACCCACATGATCTCGTATAGCATGCTCCGTAGTTATGTCATTATAACTTGCTGGAACAGGCATTGGTATAGTATCCCTAACCTTCCCCAGATCGTCTTTGTACCATTTTTCGCGTACACCTTGCGTAGGATTAGATTCATCCGACTTTACAAAATTCCAAATGCCATCTAGTGAGCGCACCTCACGCGTTTCAGACTCTCTTGGATACAACATGCCAGAGGTTTGGCTTATTTCCTTATTCACAATAACGAGCGCTATTGCAAAGTGTATTATGTATGCAATGGCACCCATGGTGAGTAGAGATATTGCTGAGAGAGAAAAGATTTTCAAATCAGAAGAATGTTTAGTTACAAGCACGGATACGGGATATAGATAGTAATGTAAGTTAACAGTGAGTTGAAATATTTTGGCCAAACTGAATTTTGATCTATAACCTGTAACTCTGATAATCTAAGATTGTATTATTATTACACTATTACGCTGGCGTTCTTGATTCATCTACAGAATTTTTTTTAGGAACTTTACAGTAAAGGTTGGTTGATTGCAGTGGCAAGCCATTATATAACTTCCATGTACCTCAAATAGCGATTTTTTATCCTTTTTATAGAAAAGTAGAGACTAAATCCATCCCGTCGAATTTATATAATTTAATAGGTCTTTCGTCTTTACCGATAAACAGTCTGATAAACTGTCAAAAAAGTATCTTCCTAAAAACGTATTTCTTCTGGGCACAGCCATAATAAACAATAATATGTTTTTGGATGTTATGAACATATAGAGTGTGTTTGGTGCTGATCATGTGTTGTGTTAGTGCTACAGTTTTTCTGGGTGATTTGATATCATTTTAAGTTCATTTATTCTGGATCCTTAGCTCCGTTTTGTTGTGCCAATGCAGGAAATGCTTGAACACATTATTTGAGGGCTATCAGTTTGTTTTATACTTCTTGGTTTCGCCTATGCAGTTAGTTTATTGGACTGGAAGAACTTATTTCAATTCTAAGTCTAGAGAATGTTGACTTTTTCGGAGATAATGTTTCTGAATATATTTCCAATGTATTTGGACATGTTTTTACGAGGTACCTATGTAGATGAGACAATTGGTCGAAACGATATGTTTGATTTATGTGGTTTTGATCTACTATATAAATAAATTGCCTTGGGGGATGTAGAATTTAGTTTTGTTGCTTATAATTTGTCTATTCGGTTACGTTTAAACAAAATTGTTAATTAAATTATTTTCTGTTATTAATTTGTTTGTGGAATCCCTTCCTATTCTTTTGTAGGTGTTTTTGTCATCTATTATGCTCCTAGTTTTCATATTGTTTTTTGTATAATAAGACTGGTTTGTTGCCTTTATCCGTTGTAATAACTATGATCTCATTTTTGTATTAACAAATATCTTTTGTGTGTTACTATACATATAGTAGGTCTTCCAAAAATAATTTCCTATATTTACTTTTCCTGCTGATTTTTACGGCTCCACTTGGACAGAAGAAGAAGCTCTGCTACAACTAAAACTAATCATCCATATATGGTAGATCTAAGTGAAAAAAGGGGCACACAGTGTGAACTGCTTATTTTTTATATCACAACTGCGTATATTTGAGAGTCTTTCAAATGTTCAGTTTAGAAATATAAATGAAAGCACTTGGATAACCAAAACAACCGAGTTTTTTCACTTAGTCAGTATGATTGATATAACACAAGGTTTGAAAAAAATATTCCTATGCATCATTGGTAATCGTTCATATCTTATCGTTAATTTGTATGTAAAAGTAGCGTTTGTAACTTTTTTATATTTCTTTAGCATTCCGATCGATAAGATTTGTTATTTAATATATACGAAATCAATATTGCTAATTTTATTTTGGTCACACAAATCTATTTTATGATTTCAGTGAAAAAACTTAGCCTTATCAATACTCTTAATAAAATTGGTTAGAATAAACCAATTCTAGCGTAAAATATAAGGCTAGTAATTAGTAAGAGTGATAGATGAGTCATCTTGACCATATTAGTTAAATTAGAATTTGTAGTAATGTATATACAAATTAAAAAAGTTTAGTGTTGATTTTGATATATATTCTTATGATCCCAACAACGGAGTGAGAAGGCGCTATATTAGTCTATATTAGTCGCTATCTATGTGTGATATGTAACAACTCGAGAATTTATTCAAAAACTTTTTTTTTAAAAATATATGGACCAAAAAGCAATTTATGTTGCCTTTTGTTATTTGTATGAATTTGAGAAATCTGGAACTAATACAAAATCAAATATTTGAGTTAACCTTTATTTAATGTCAATATATAGTAAATAATGTTTTCATAACTAATAACAGAAGCAATATCCACTTGTTTTGGTAAATTTTGTTAACCTCGGTTAGAATGTGAATATGACGGCTGCATAAATTGATGGTTTTGATCAGTCTATCGCTCAAATCTATCAAAAAACTATACGATAATATGTAATTTTGTTTTAAATTTTTTAAGTCGTTATGTCGAAAATATTTTAAATTCGGTTTTTTTTAACATTTTAACGTTGTATTTTGTGTAGTTCTAAACGTGTTCCGGCAAATTCACCTTTGCCTTCATCAGGTGAATTCTTAATATTATTAGGAATATTAGATACACAAAATACAATACGCGATAATGTTAACTATAAGCATAAAATGAAATTTTATAAAATTGTACATATCTTGTGTAATTACTTAGTGCTTTTCGATGAGTATGGTGCTTGCACATTGTCTTCTTTACCTGTATATACTGATAAGGTTTTTTATGATTACTTATAAGTGCATCTGGAGTGGATATTTTGTGCTATCAAATAGCCAATGGCATTACAAGAAGAAATATGCAAAAATTATTATTCGCCTGGTATTGCTGTTTTGCAAGCGAATTGTAAGAAGTGAGCGAATTGAGCAAATACATGACCATCGGTAGTCCTAATTGATAAATCCTTGGTTTCCTTAACTTAATCTCACTAACTATGGATATATGGAGGAAGTTAAGATGCTAATAATATAATAGTGAAAATAAATATTAATAGTGACCAACACATTATTAATTATAATTAATAAGGTCATATTTGTGTATCTGTATATATCATATATCATGTATATATTACCCCAAAGTAATTTGAAATACAAACTGGAAAGGGACTTTGAGGGATATAAATAGGTTATCTGTTCGCAAATTTTATTATAAAATCAATTTGCGCGGAAATGTTTTTTAAATAAAAACATAAATAAACATATTTTTCTTAATTATGTTGAGTTGCAAACAAAAGAATCTCAAAGCATGAACATTGACATTAATACTTACAAAGCAGTTAGCGTTGGCGATTTCATATTTTCCATGGTTTTCATCCAAATAAATCACGAACCGAAACAAAACGGAAATGAAATTCAAAACAGCAAATTTGCATTTTTATTTCATTTATTTTCATAAACAAAAAATACAAATAAAATAAAAATGCATCATACAAAAACAAGAAAACAATAAAATACAACAAAACGTTTGAAGAACACGTGTTGCAGTGTACATTCGCTTGTGTAAACTGCGGGAAAGAAACGAACTCAATTACGTCAGATTCTTTACACAAATTCCTATAAGAATTCGAGACGTAAATAAAAAAAGTTTTAAGCTTGCCAAGCATAACGTAAGCAGCCAAATCAGCTGTTTTCAGCATTGCATTGGACAAAAAAAATCTGCTGAACGCAGAACGTAGCTAAGCTTTTCTTAACGCAACACCGCAAAGCAGCGCTGCTGTTAGTTACAAGCGTCATGAGATCACTTAGTTACGGCGTTGTTGTTGTTAATTGCGCTTATTAGTCACTAAACAGCTATTTTATTAAGATTTTATTTATTTAATAAAAATTAAAATATTTTGATTGTGTTTTATTGTTTACTTCTTATCAAATAGATTAGTTTTCAATAGGGAAATGCATTTAATTTTTGTTTTTCAATAATAAACAAACATGAAACTAAGCGTCGAAAACCCCAGCCCATAATAGAAAACGCATACGCCGACGCTGCCGCCTTTTACATTCGCTTTTATGACTACGTACGCACACACGCACACACGTTCACCTAAACGGCTCGAAAGCACAGCACGAACTGGTCGGCCGTGCGAATTTCTCGTTTTTCGAGGTATCCAAATTCTTTAACGAAGCATTTGCTTTTATCTAACTAAAGAAAGCTTTTTTGGTGTTGATTAAGTGAAGCTTTTTTTACCGAATGAAGTGTTCAAGTAAGCATTTTATGATTTAAAGTTTTATTACAAAAACTATTGTGATATTTGATAAGCATAGAAAGGTATTTAGCAGGCAGAGTTGAATCGGTAAATACGCTACAGTGTGTGGTGAATGACTTAGGTACACTCGCAAAGTTCCTCAATTATTGGTGTTAAGGTAGAATTTAGGCATTAATTTAGAATATAAATAAATTATTTCACATTGCTGAATTGTGCCATTCAATTCATATTTTAAGCAATTTAGCAAATGTGAAATAACTTAATTTTAATATTTATGTTAAGCTGAGGCAACAACTTAACAGCAGCAACGGTGAAATATGCAACATTGCATTATGCACTGTTAACAGTGTTCCAATTAATTTGTTGCTGAGGTATTATTAATATTGATAATAGTATTGCACAAAAAATTGTATAAAAGCAATTGAAACAATAAAGAAATTAATCAATCAATAAAATCTATTCTTTGATTCTCGTCGAAAACCTTATTCTGCTATATATAGAGTAAGTTTCAAGTGCTTGATCTATAACCAATAAGCAATATCCAATAAGTTAAAGCAAAAATTAAAAGTTAAAGTGCTTATTGAATACTATAAGAATTAAGGCTTTTCAAATATACAATTCGATTCTATGTGTGGCTTTCATTGCTGACAAAAATATCAAAATATGGTACGCAGCTCATAATGGTATTATTTCAAATTGTGCAATAAAAAAATCAATTAAAATTTTGCTAATCTTATGTTAAATGTCATCTTTTTGATGTAGCATATCATCTAATTCTGTGTATTATCAATACAATGCGTAATTAAAACCAGCGAAAAAGTTGGTCTTAGCCATTGCTTTTTTGATTCAAATAGTTAAGCAGCAGTAATAATTTTGGACCATTAGTGGAAATTGGTCTAAAGCTTGCTAATATACAGTCAAGTAACACTCAGAAACTTTGTTCTAAAGGTCGCAGGTTATTATGGTAATAATAAGTTTATAAACTCGTGAAGGAGAATATCTTTACTATATTTACTGGATCCGAATGTTAGATTGAATTAGAACAATGAAGTAGAATAACACATTCTTATGAAGCCGAAAGTCAAGTCAAAAAGTTAAGCCAATACAAAGAGCTCATTCTGCTTGACAATATAAATACTAATAAGTTTTCGATTCAAATCGATTTATTATTGGTGTGCCACTTAGATAGGAAAGTTCGAATTAAAGGCCTCTGACAGCTGTAGATTTGTGTGAAGGATGAGGAGGAGTTTTGAAAACAGTGTATTAAGAGATGTTCAGTAGGCTTCATCTAGGTTAGAAATAACACAGTAGATATCACAAGGTCTAAATCGTCTAATAATAATAGTTCTGGTTATGACTGATTTTATAAGATATTTGTTTCTCATTTAGATTAATTATAAGTTTGTAAAACGATTATGTAAGATTGATATAATTATATTACTTCTAATAAGAACTGTGTTCATATACTGTGTTCACTATACTTGAGATTGTTGCCGAACGGAATTATTTTCATTTGATCATACCGCCAAATGTTAAATATCTATTTTCAAAAACTATAAGTGCTAAACTTAATTTTTGCAGCTTAAAACATATATGGCTAAATTACTTATTGATCTAGTCAAAATTAAGTAGGTATATTTAACATCATTTATGAGTGACTGCTTCAGAATGCTTTAAACTAGATATGTAAATGAATATGGAGCAATGAATGTATCTAATCAATTAAAAACATAAACTTATTGATGTCTTCTTTACTAAGATATCTGCTTATTCAATATATATGTATTAATAAATTAATAATATATTTATTCCATATTATAAAAAAATGTAGGAATATATGCAGGGTATACTTCTTAGTTGTGGAAGTTATAGGCACAAATACTTTAGCTACATCTCTTCGATATTAACTATATCTGTTAGTTGAGATTTATTAATTAATTAAGATATATTAAAATTGTCAACATATTTCGCACTTTAATGTGTTAGGTAAAAATGTCGTTTTATAAAGTAAAGGGAAAGTAATAAGAGGCTATGAATTTTAATTTGATTCTCATTTTTCTTTTAGTTTTTTGTTTTATTTTAGACACTGCTTCATAGTGAATTAATTTTGCAGTCTAGTCAGAGTTATGCTTACAAAGACGTCGTCTATTCTTGTTTTAGATGAATTGACCTCGTTAAATAATTGTTAAATATCGTGTCCAATTTTTTTTACATCGAATCAAGGATTTCGTTAAAAGTAAAATATACTTTTACTCTTTTTGGGACTTTGTCTTATATTCCACTAATATCTTAAATGAAATCGTTCCTACTACATGTTTTATTCAGTAACTGGGTGGTAATTATTTTTGTGACGTATCTACGAGTATTTGGAAGAGGGTAGGTGTACGTTTTTCGCATGGCATTAGCATAACTAATCGACTTATTTCGTTAAGTGCGTTTAGGTTATTTTTGCGTGTCAACTTCGTCATTAATTAGATTTACTTGGAGTGAGACTTACAAAAAGCAAATGGAATATTTTCAAGATATTTTCGAACTTATTTAAAGGAATCTAAAATTTTTGCGTCTTAACAATCTATACTTTAGTAAACACTAGAAATGGTAAAAATGAATTGAGAAAGATGTTCTCCCTATGTAACTCAAAGCAAATAATTACAATTTTCTATTAGATCACAAGAATTATTATTTCAAATATAATATATTATCTGTTTATAGAGTATAGAAGTAAATTAAACATTTGAACAAAAAATGTTTCTTTTTATAATTGCAGTTGACACTTTACTTATTTACTCATTGTAGGTACTCTCCAGAGTTTATTAGTCTCCAAGTGTTTGTCCTATATCACATGAGAAGTGATATTGGAATATCATTATTCAATATTCATTTAGTCAGTTAACAGGTTCTAAAATAATGGTGCATTTGTCCATTTGTTATGGCTTAAGTAAGTCATATCTCATTCAAAGCTGCAGTTCAGCAAATTAAATACATTGAATATAACGTTTTCAATTTGCATCAACTAATTGTCAGACGAGATAACTCCCATCTTGATTTCAGTGTGTAAACAGTACTACCGCCTTATGTTCTCAATGTAGAGGTAAAGTGTTTAGATATACAAGTAGAAAACGAAGAATATCTTATACGTATTACATTCAATTAAGATTTGTTGAAAGCACAGTCAATAGAGATATTTAGTTGAAATTGAGTTGATAATGCAAAGACATCACATAACATTAAAATTAATTGAGATTTGTATATAGTATGTCTGCCATGACTAGCGATTATATAGATACATGAAGAATATATAATATGTTTTTTGAATTTGGTGTCTAAGCCTTTGTGGATTTACTTAACAAATTTCAGAGACAAAGCTATTATACACTGTTATTTCCTTGTTGCAACCCATTTCCAGCTCTTATGTAATTGAACTTTCAGCAACTGGTATTGTATTGATGGAATTTTCTAACTGCACTCTACCTACCCTTGATGAGAGCTTTAAATATATTCGCAGCAGCTTTATAAACTCTGAATCGGATTTAACCCTTCCTCAAAAGCAAAATGTTAAACCAGAAAAATAAAATGGTTCTCTATAAATAGCTCACTGCTCTATTTTTGCAGTGCGGTTCGATTCTTTCAGTGAAGTATATGCGATTCTATCAGTATAAACCACAGAAACTCCCAACATTCCACAACATCATCTTAAAGAAGATATTGAAATCTCTCACAGATCTTTCTTTTGCGTTCATCATCAATTAACGTTCTTCCTTTGAAATATAATTCACCCTCTCCAGGTGACAATATCTGAATCAATTAATCAATGTAGCATTTTTCACACCACTTATTTTAAGGGCTCTTTAGTTTACTTCTACTGTATTATTTAAGCATTTCACAATGTTGTGATTAAATTAAAAATAATTAATAATTTTTTTTGTCACACTGAAACTCACACATTGTATCAGAACACTATTAACTTCACAGGTGAGATATTTGCAAACTGGAACTCAAATTACCACTGTGAGCCGCAGCCAGAACGAACGCAACGTTACCAACAACTGCGGTCTACAATACTTCGTCAACTAATTGAAGTTCTTGCACTGCAGGGAGTTTTAAATGAAACCAAATGAGTTCGACTTCATAAACAAAACGAACAAAAATTGAATTAAATTTATCGACTTGCATTGTACAGTTTTCAATTAGTATTCCTACTGAAGCCTAATCAACATGTGTGCCTGTGGGTGCAGATGACCCAATTCCTGACGATATATGCCATCGCAAGTAATGGAATAATTAAATAATTGAAAAATAATTAAAATTAAATGGACTTCACTGAACAAAATCTAAAATGGAGGTTTCAAATGAAGTTGGCAGAGGTCCGGCTTACCCCAAATTTCCACTTTGCGGCATGTTAAACGTATTTTTAGACGCATTCCAAAAAATATTGGACAATTGTATTTTTATTGGAAATAATAAGTTTGTGATTTTTTCAGTTTGAAATTACCACCTTATCCGAACACTTACAAAAATAAACTCGTACTAAATTGAAGCTCGAATATACGATATGCAAATTAAGTGGCAGTTCTTATTTTTATCCACTCATCGATCTATGTATACTTTTCTGTCAGTACGTCTGTCTGTGTTTGTATTTGCTAACATTGCTGTTCTGCATGTCAGATATTTTCTTATGCATT